GGGGGCAAAAGCTACCATTTTGGCACAGTTTGACAAAGTCGAGAAAAGCCACGCATGTTAGTTTTTCTGCATTGCGATCTGATACAATCAGTTACCTTTGGTGCAAATTCCCAATCAAAAAGTTACAAAACATTTCCGGGTCCAATCTTTTGTTTACGTACCAAATACGATAGTTCTTTCTTTTTAATTTTTAGTAAGAGTTTTGTAGCATTTGCAACACAGTAAGGACACATATGAGTGTTGCAGATAAATGTAAGAGGTGTTACAAGAGAGTAGCAAATACACAAATGAAAGAGGAGAGATATGGACGATAGAATGTTTCATAGTAAACAAAGAGCGAACCACACAAGAGCACCCGTTAACCACTTACAGCGATAGTTCTTAATGAACTTACGGGTCAAATTTAACAGAACAGAAGAAAGTTTGACATAGTGTGTACTGGAGTTGCTAATACATATGCTATGCATTTAATTTGTTGGACGCAATTCGACCTTATCATGCAGGTGGTGTCCTTTTGACCAATGAGCACCCACTATAAAGTAGGACTCATCATCTACCGCGTAGAGGGCGTGAGAGCTAGGCCCACAGAGAAGTGTGTAGGCTCAGCGTGAGAGCGATCCTGCGTAGAACAGATATGCGGAATCGAGAAACCCGCGTAGTCTGGGTTGACCAGGATGTCACGTCTCTTATCTGTTTTATTATCACTAACAATATGATTATTCTTCTCTGCAAGTAGCAATTTTTATTTTTTGAGAACGTGGATTCTTATCTATCTGTATAACTATCACTGACAATATTATTACTTTTTTTTTACCAGGCAAATGCGGGGTGTAAAAAAAATTCTCACAAAACTGAGCAAATACGATTCAACCTGGGGACGTTAAGTTTTTAAACATGCTTAAAATCAAACAAGGTGTTTGAAAAATATCAAGCTTGACTTTTTCAACCACAATTGGAAAAAACACAAACTTTAGATTTTTAAAAGCGATATAGCTTCAGGGGCATAATCAGCCCGTTCTGGTTTCAAGACACGGACGATAAAATCACAACAGTCACATCCGATGGATATCTCACATTGCTGAGAAAGTACAGTTGAACCTGCCCTGACGGCCACCTCTATAAGACGACCACCTGTACAAACGGCCACTTTCCATTTCCCCCCTTGCGTTTTTTCTATATAATTTAACTGTAAAACGGG